CATTTCATAGGCTGCCCTGACTGTCAATCAGCTGCCTTTGTTGGCATAATGTTGTTGATTGTTAATTCGGCTCATGGTAAGAAATTTATCCTAAAAACTTTCAGGCCAAATGCAAAAAATACTGAAAATAAAAGACTTAGTTTAGCTACAGTAATATATATATATATATATATATATATATATATATATATATATAAAATTTTATTATTATTATTTACATATAAATACATATACACAAATAATTCTATGTTTTTACATGATATAAATGTATACATAAATTATAAATTAATACATTTAGACATTCATAAAACAAATTATTAATTTACTTGCATTATATTATTTATATTATTTACATATATGTGTGTGTGTTTCGAATAATATTAATAGAATATTAAAACTAATTTAATGTTTTAACAAACAATATAAATAAAGTTGTAAATACATTTACAAATTTATTTTCAAAAAATATATTATTTTAACACATTTATTATTTTAATACATATAAATAAATGCATATACACAAATAGAACTGTTATTGTATACAGATATATATATATATATATATATATATACACACACGCTAAATTGATACATTTAGCAATTTATAAAAATAAATTAATAATTTAATTGTATTATTATTTACATATGTGTGTGTGTGTGTGTGTGTATGTGTAAATAATATAAATAAAATGGTAAGTTAATACTTTTAAAAATGTATTACAAATATTCTATGCATGCATGTATACATGTTCTATGAATGACTATCTTATAGTTTCTGCAAACTGAAGCACAAGGTGGAATAATTTTCTGCACACAGCATGCCACAGATGCGGTCCATAAAGCTTAAGCTATATTCAACCCGGAACGTTCCTTTAACCCTAATGGATTCTAGATCAAGTCAAAATGTGCAGAAGACAAGATTCATTAGTGCTGGACCAACTTTTCCCACCCAGACACCCAAAGCATCAGTGCTGAACAGATGAGCCCACAGATTCATAACGGCCGAAATCAGAAAACCAATCCTCTGTTACCCCCAAACCTGGACATCAACCTCCCCAGACAGACTCTTCTGACAGCGATCTCTCTGCGAGCTTATTTACCATTCTGAAGCCAAACTCTCCTGTGAAAGATCCTTTTCAAACTTGTTAGCAGCCAGACAAACACTCAGTCAGGCAGAACGCTCACAACAGAGCTGATAAACCCCTGATGTAGAATCACTGACTCAGCCAAGCCTGACACTGCCTGTGAGAAAAGCTCCGAATCCACACAACACGCTCCATATTTCAAACGTGTACAAATCTAACGTTGTTCTACAAGAGGAAACGCAAAGACCAACTCGTGCATGCTTAATATTTCAAGCACAATAGGACGCCTTGAGCAGATTCTAAAAGGCATTATTTGGATCATACTTGGGGCCATTTTTACATGTTTGAATTCTGGGTAATTATTTTTTAATTAAGCTTTGAATGAACCAGATTTCTCGAACAGGACGTTCGCTGAAAACCAGGCCATTTGGTACCACTGAGATCTGCACGCGAAAAGTCCAGCAGGGATTTCATTTTATGAGAGCTCTCGTTCAGCACCAAACACACTTTGTGAGAGAGTTTATGAAAAATGTTGTGATGTATTGCAGTAACCGAACTTGTTTAGTTATTCCTGTGTCCGAGCCGCCAAACACTCAAATATAGAGACCATGAAGCCACACAGGAGTAAAGTTATGCTCAGCATTTTTAAAAGCATTACAAGCACAAATCCCATGTTTTTTTTTTTTATTAGATATGACAGATAAACTATTATATAACATAAAACCACCTCAGAGGTCAGACAGTTTCGACTTTCTATAACAATTAAAATTATACAATCTCATAATTTTGGCATCATCTAATATTAAATAAATAATCAATTTGTATAAATATTAGAATTTAGACTGGATTTTTGATTTTATTTTTTAGGGTAAGTTTATCAATAAGTATAAATCAATGTAAGGTCCCAAACAAGCTAATCTGTATATAGATTTTTTATTTATGTAAAAACATTTTATTAATTGTATTATATAATACTATGTATTTAAATATTTTATATTTGTATAAGCAATCTTTTTAATTTTGAGGTTTGTTATATATATTATGTATTTATTATTATGTTTACTGCAACAACATGACCAATCGTGGTGTGTTAATTTCATTGACGAATAATTTTCGTAAATTTTCGTCAATGACATTTTTGTTACCGACGACAGCGAGACGATAACGAACTAAAACTCTTTTTGAATGACAAAAACTATGACGTAAATCTATTGACATTTTCGTCAACGAATAAAAATCTTGTTCTTTATGAGAAGTGGTTTTATTTAATTTTAACATAAAGGCATGTTGTGTCACCGCAGTTAAATCGGTGTCTATCATGATAAAACCTTAATATCAAACCTATATAATGAGTTTGGAAATGATAGAGAAATGCTTAATAAATGCACTGTAACTAAACCCATTAGATTTTAGCCGACTAAATTTACTGTAGTTTTAGTCGACTAAAATCTTATGATATTTAGTAAACTAAAACTAGACTAAAACTAAAAACAATTCAGATGACTAAAACTAAATGGCATTTTAGTCAAAAGACTATGACTAAAACTAAATCAAAATTTGCCGTCAAAATTAACACTGGTGTAAACTGTATTTTCTGTAACAAGGTTACAAAATTTGCAATCTTCATATGAAATGACAAGTATACTGAATTTAATATTTGCTATTTATTTGTCTCGTGAGACTAACAAACAATATCTGAAGTTTAAGCACCTCAATTTACTGAGCACTTGTTGAAAAAAATAATATACATATATTTAGTCACAGACCTATTCATGTGAAGCGGCTCAGCTTTTGTGTGTGTTGTTACCTGGTTGAGACGGAGTATCGTTCCCGCAGGTGTTTGCACGGCACTCCAGCCACTGTGATGTTTTTAATGTCATCCTTCTGAATGCCAAGGTTCGAGCCCTTAATAGTTACAGCTATTCCTCCTTTCAGCGGCCCGAATCTCGGCGTGATCTGAAATACATTATAAAAACACCCGAATCAGGGAGAAAAGACCACAGAGATGACCAGTCTCACTAAAACAACAGAAAAAGATGAATATTTCTAAACAAGCTAATGTATTCCCAGCAGTAATTCAGCCATCTGAACAGAACATGACCTGAGGTTTCTACTGATTTTTACTCTAACAATTTGTGAAAACCGGAAAGGAGAACAAGAAAAGTTATAAATTATTGCTTGAACTTTCTCGGGCTGTGTTTTGAGTATTGAGGATTGTCAAAATCACAACATTAATTTAGAAAATGTTTCATAAAACCCAGAGTTTTAGGGTCATTGGCTTGTTTCGGCTCATCAGTGAAGACTCACGTCAGTGATCTGGGGGTCGGGACACTCCTCCGGCTCTTTCGAGGCACAGAGCTGGTCGTACACACACGAGCTGGAATGCGTGCACCACACACACTGATATTTGGGGTCGGCGTTCTTACACAGGCTGCAGTCTTCACGTCCCAGAGAGCAGTTATACAGAGTGACTGAAAGACAAACCCAGAGTAAAACCACTAGAGGAACTTTAGGAAAAAAGTTTTAAAGGTATAGTTTATATCTAAACCTGTAGGAAATGTTTTGCACAAATAATATAATAAGTACTGTAAATAATGTCATAAAATAAAATAAATGTCATAATTAAATATTTTTTACATAATATAAACAAAAACAGAGCATTTTACATAAATAATATAAATAAAATCAAACATTGGCTTTGAGTGTGGAAACAACTGAATTTAAGTTGTTATATGTGAAGTACTGAAGCACAATTGGAAAATGAATAATTTTTGAGTCAAATCTTTTGAATGAATCAATGGATCCGATTCACAAAATCAGTCTAAATTTTCTGTCATTGTTTACTCATGTTGTTTCAAACCTGTAAGAAGCTTTTTTGCATAAATAATGCAATAAGTAAATGATATAATAAAATAAATAATATAAATAAGTAAATAATATAAATAAAAAGCAGTGGTTCCCAACCCTGGTCCTGGAGGCACCCCAACACTGCACATATTTCCTTTCTCTGACACACCAATTTCAGGTCTTGGAGTCTCTACTAATGAGCTGATGACCTGAATCAGGTGTGTTTGATTAAGGAGACATGCAAAACGTGCAGTGTTGGGGTGCCTCCAGGACCAGGGTTGGGAACCACTGTTCTAAAGTCATTCAATGGCTTTGGGTGAGAAACGACTGAATTTAAGTTGTTATATGAGAAGAATGTAATGTAATTTAATAACAATGAATAAGGACTGCCCCTTACAAGCTTCAAAAAAAGATGCAAAAGCACCATATTTCATATGACTCGTGTGCTATATTCAAGACTTCTAAACTCATTCAATGGCTTTGAGTGAGAAACAACTAAATTTACGTTGTGAATCATTCTTTTGAGTCAAATCTTTCCAACAAATCAGTGGATCTGATTCACAAAACCAGTCCAAATGATCATTCACAAACTGAATTGATTGGATTCTCAAGTTCAACATATCGCTGAGTTTAACATGAGAATCAGATCATTTGATTCCTTAAAGGGTTAGTTCACCCAAAAATTAAAATTCTGTCATTACTCACCCCCTGATGTCACACGGACTACTTTGTCGATCATCTTGGTACTTTTCTGGACCTTGAAGGTGGTAGTTACCTTGCTGTCTATGGGAGGGTCAGAGAGCCCTCATATTTAATCAAAAATATCTTTAATTGTGTTCCGAAGATGAATGAAGGTCTTACGGGTTTCCAACAACACGAGGGTGAGTAATTAATGACAGAATTTATTTTCATTTTTGGGTGAACTAACCCTTTAATTTTTGTCCATTTTTGAAGCTTAAAAACTTCTGTCCCCATTCATTGTAAGTCCACTGCAAGAGCAACCAGCACATTCTTCAAACTAACTTCTTTTATGTTCCACAGAAGAAAGAGTCATGCGGGTTTGGAACGACATGAGGGTGAGCAAATGATGAGAAGCGAGCGAAAGCGATTACCGCTAAGACTGCTGTCGATCTTCTTTCCCGTGTATTTGTCTCTTACGTGGAACAGAACGTTGGTCTCATGAGCTTTATCAAAGGAAAACTGGAAGAGACAGATCAGAGGGTGAGTCAGACCAGCTTTCAGGAGCGTCTCATTTGGACAAGAGCTCATCTTAGGTAAAAATATTCCTCTCCGTATCCACGGGCAGTTTGGCAGGAAGTCAAAAAGCAGCCGAAGAGTATATGCTGCTCTCTCCGCTCAACACCTACGGTTCTCTCCTCCACATTAAACACTAGAGATGAATTACAGCCTGGAGACTTTCCAATAGGGGGAGCTATGATCTCAAACTGCCAGAAGAGCCACTGAAGTGTAGGCAGGTATCCCTTACATTGCTAATTGGTTGTGTATCATTTAGCAAGAGCTTTTTATATAAAAAGATTTACAGTAGAGGAACAACAGTCTGCCTTGGGCAACATGCAGATAGAGAGAGAAATAGACATGGAGTGTGTGTGAAACTAACCGTATAACCGCTGAAAGAGTAGAAGGGTCCCGGCTCTGTCTTGACATCTTCCTCAAACTTCGTCAGCTCTGTTCCGATGGTGAAATCACGACCCTGAAGTGTCGCAATTCATAAAACATCAACAAAAAGCATTTTGTCACATTTATTCACAGGTAGGAGGACAGGAAATGATGGAGGAAGACAAGGGAACAAATTTTGAAAAAAAAAAATACAAGTCAAATTCGGACCTCTGTTTAGAGGAAAGTGAATTATGATTTATAATGGATTACGAATGCATTGCAAGTGCACTGGCAAAAAGCATTTTCTCAATTAGTGTTTTTCTCTTGCTGTCCAGAAAACCATTAAACATCCTTTAAACCAAGACTGATTGAACTCACCTTGTACGGGTCCAGATTGATGCCCTCAAAACTGATCCGGGTTTTGTATCCGACCGGGATAAGGACAGGATCTGGGTTCTCGAACCGCGGACAGCTCTTGTTCTAGAACCCAGAGAAGACGGAGAACTCAGGAAAGCTGAGTCTGCTGAAGTCCACACTAATCTATGGCTATTTTCTGAGTGATTTTAAATTCACATCTGACTTAAATGAATGAACATCCATTGAAACTGAAAAACTCATTAACTATGATGATGTGTATGAATAAAACAGTTTATTTACAGCTGAAATCTAATACATCCTCACTGACATTGGCGACTGTGGCTAATTGTATATAATCCATTTTTCCCATCCATTTTTTATTTTATTTTGCCGATTCAGCTAATGTGTTTTGCATTAAAGTCATTTACTTTGTGTCCATTTCATCAGCCATGTGTAGCTGTTCAAGGAAGCAGCAAATATCAAACAGTGTGGAGGCCATTTCTGAAATTGCTGGCACTGGATATCGACAATGATTCAGCTGTGTGCTTCAAGAAATGGTTTTAAGAAAATAAATAAATTAAATATCTAGACCAGTTGGATCTGGTGCTTGAAGACAAGAAGCACATGAAACTAATCAAAGTGGCCCAAATCAATGGTGCTGATAGCAGACATACATCACCGAGACGTTTACTCGATGTGTGCTTTTTCATACGTGTCATTTTTAGCCCATTTCCTCATCTGCAAGACTGCTAAAACACTCGCCGTCGAAGGTTAGAATGAAAGTCAGAAAATGTCTTTATTTGCCTAATATACATTCCTGGTCTTAAAGGAACAGTTCACCCAAAAATGAAAAAATAGCTGAAAATGTGCTCACTCTCAGACCACCTGAGATGTAGATGAGTCTGTTTCTTCATGGGAACAGATTTGGAGAAATGTAGCATTACATCACTAGATCCTCTGCAGTGAATGGGTGCCGTCAGATTGAGAGTCCAAACAGCTGATAAAAACATCACAAGTAATCCACACCACTACAGTCCATCAATTAGCGTCTTGTGAAATATAAAGAAATATCTGTGTTTATAAGAAACAAATCCATCAAGGCATTTTCTGGAAAAAATACAAAATACGAGCCCATTGTTTAGAACTGTTTTCACTTGTAAATGGTGCTTAATCTGAGCATATTTCCCTCCTGATTTAGATGAGACGACTTTAAGCAATATTATGGATTATTATGGAATCGTATTTTAGCCGGAAGCAACAGTTTGAAGTTAAAAATGTCTTAATTATGGGTTTGTTTCTCACAAATGCACTTTTTCACTTCTCAAGACGTTAACTGATGGACTGTAGTGGTGTGGATTATTGCGATGTTTTTATCAGCTGTTTGGACTCTCATTCTGATGGCACCCATTCACTGCAGAGGATCCATTGGGGAGCAAGTGATGTAATGCTACATTTCTCCAAATCTCTTCTGATGAAGAAACAAACTCATCTACATCTTGGATGGCTTGAAGGTGAGCACATTTCCAGCAAATTTTTCATTTTTTGGGTGAACTATTCCTTTAAAAGTTATCAAGTGCGTTAATAAATTATTTTCCATTACAGATGACATCATTAGGACGACAATGGCAGGGAAAATAGCCAATAATTGTTTAAACAACTCAAGGATGGTGAGGAGGTGCATTTTTGTGTTTCCCTTCAAAAATTCTGTTCAAGTAACTAATCCCACTTTTTTCAAAGAATATCCTGGTTTCTCTGTGAAATACATCTGATTATGGAAGTAAAATGGTTGTGAACATTTCATGTTGATTTTTCGATTTTAATATGATGCTTCAAACACATTTTATGATGTTTTGGTGTCGTATACTACCAGTACAACGTTAGGGGTTGGTATTATTTATTTTGTAAATAAATAATACGATGTAAACAGAGCACTAATTCTGAGTATGGGTCACCATACTTGGCCACATGTCATGTCACTTGTTTGTTTTTGAAGTCTCTTACACTCAAGCTGCATTTATTTGATCCAAAATACCATTAAAACTGGAACATTATAAATTATTATTTCAATTTAAAATGACTTTTTTTCCTATTTGAATATGTTAAAAAAATATTCCTGTGATGGCAAAGTTGAATTTCCCCTTTATTTCAGAATTATTTGATGAATAGAAGGTTCAACAGAAGAAGAGAACATTATAATGTAACATTATAAAAGTCTATACTTTCACTTTTGATTAATTTAATGCATCCATGCTGAATAAAAGTACTAACTTCTTTACAAAAAAAAAAAAAATTAATTTAAATAATTCTGACGTTAGTATATGTGTACTAAGTGAGAGTTAACAGACTGTATTAACTCTCATTGGGTTCTCTGTTCAGTACCTGTCTGTGTTTGATTATATTGGCGCCGGTTTCCGCATCGCTCAGATCCGTGCAGGTGTGCGCCGCAATGTTCCACTGACATCCCCAAGCGCTGCTTACACAGGAAGTGCATCTGCGGAGAAACACGCGAGCGATTAAAGCAGAGGACGGCAGAGGTTCAAATCAGAGTTCTAGTTACATTTTTCATCAGTGTGTAAATGTTTGGAGTAAAAGCATATAGTCCCGGAGCACTTCAAATAATACTCATTCATCAGCAAAGTCCCAGAGCTCTTAAAACACAAGGAGAAGGGGAAAAAAGAGATGAGAGATCGACTTTCATGTGTGATGAATGAATGAGAAACGAAAGCAATTTCCTGCTCTTGGAGGGAAAAAAAAAAAAACGTAAGCAAGCCTCTATAGAATCAAATTCAATTCCAGCATCAGTGATGCGTTACAATTTATGAGTAAACCTCATCGTTACAGATGCTTGTATTCATTAAACACACAGTGTTGTCAGCACAAAGCGCTGACAATAGAAGCCCAGACAGCAAACGTACGGTGTATTTTCTGCTTTCCGGACTGCCGCTGCGCAGTTGTAGAACTTGTACTCGCTGGACGCGAACTGCACGCTACCGTTCACAAAGATGTGGACTGGAACTGCCACGAAATCTACAAAAAAAATACACAGAGAGGGTCAGGAGAAGGTTAGCCAATCACAGCATCAAAGTCTTAAAGATACAATAGCAAAACAGCCTTAAAGGACAGTAAGGGACTGTTTTTGAAGCAAGAAACCTTGATGAACATTACAAGTGGACATAAAGTAGACTATTTGAGCTATATTTCAAATTAAAGATTGAAATTAAAGTCATAATGAGTTGAATTGGATCGGTCCGATTGTTTAACCAAATCAAGCGATTCAGTGGAAAGAATCAACTCAAAAGAACAATTCGTTCACAAATTAGACAGGTTGGTTTCAAGTTAACAGCTAATGGAGGAGAAGATTAGTCAGATTGACTTCTTTTATGGTGATCTTTATGTTTTTGCCCTTTTTGTAGCTTGGACAGATGTGGTCGCACGGTGTGAAATTTCTCCTTTTGGGTTTCACAATAATAACAACAAAATATACGTTTGAAATAGCATGTAAATCATAAAATAAATAAAATAATTAATAAAAACCAGTTAAATATTAAAATACATTTTACTTTAATATAACTATTGTATTTATAAATGACATTTATAATAAAATAAAATACATTTTTTATTACAAATAAAAGAAAACATGAACTAAAATACTACTTTAATTATTTAATTTAGACTATTGCTATAACTCCACATCATTCTGGACCATTTTAAGAACTGGACTGCTACATTATATGAATTCTAATAATATTAATAATAACAGTTGTTTTAAAAAATAAATGAATAAAACATTTAAACAAAAATAATAAGATGAATATTACAATTTATTCATTATGAACAATACATTATTCCTTTCATTAATTCTAATAAAATTATAATAACATGCATTATTTATTATAAATGCAAATAATAATAGAAAATCTTTAATTACTCATTAAATTAAATGTAAACTATTGCTTTAAATGCTACATAATTCTAGAACATAACAACTGGATTGCTACATGTAGACAATAAATAAATAGTTAATAAAATATATATTTTAAATTATTTATTAAACAATTTAATGAAAATAGTAAATTCAAATGTAATTCAAAATAATTAATAATTCAGCTGAGACATAAAATGAGAAGCTTTCAGGAACAGACAGCCCTTCATTAGGGCTAGGGTACTTATAAACAGTGCATTCAGTAACATAGTCAACATTTCAGAGAGTCTGACACACATATGACATGTCCTGTGTTGTGAGTGACGTACCTTGGTGCGCAGGTGTCAGCGGTATAAGATGCTGCTCAGGTAAGCGGCAACTGATTTGGCCGTCCACCATCCTGCCGTTGCTCTGATAAGAGCCGAAGGCGCAGAGGATCCGGTCTGAATCTCTGAGGACCGGCAGCGATCGGACGTTTATCTCAACCTGAGGGACATTTTACAAACTCTGAACTCACACACTTGTGATGATATGAGAGAAAGGAGCAAAACAATCCGTAATTTCAATCGGGAATCTTTGAAAATACTACATATATACAGATTAGGGTTGTGACGGTGAGGAAATTTTCCCACCGGTTAATCGACGTGTGACAACACGGATAATACCGGTATCACCGTGGGGGCGGGGGCGTTCCCTCTTTTCCTCGCTTTCCTTTGCTTTTAAATAGCTTGTAAAAGCGGTGTGGGCATTTTACTTTCACTTTCAAACAGCGGCAATTCGGCGTCAATTGCTTGAATGCAACAACAAAATACAACGTCAAACTCACTTTAGCCTATATATAAAACATAGAACTTTTATTAACAAAACAAATAAAAATACACCATGCTAAAGGGCAGGCTATGCCTAATATAAAATAACAAATAACTTACATAAAGTTTAAATAGGTAGCCTTTACAAAACTGGAAATAAGTAAACATGTAGCCTATAATATATAACCAAATAAATAAGAAACGTGGAACGTTTATTAGCAAAACGATTAAGAAAGCTTGGAGGCACGGCATACACCTTGATGTCAAATAAAATAAATAAATTACACAAAGTTTAAAAGTAAAAATCAGCAAACACTGTGGAACCAATTAAATAAGAAACGAATGTTTAAAAAAACTTCCAAAATCACCTTAGATATACGGCAAAAGTCAACAGGCTTTTCAAAATCCAAAATACTGCCAAACAGGCGCTTTTGCATTTCGTTTCGAAACTAAATCATCGTTTTGTCTGTCTCACCTCACCTCACTCTTCTTGTCAGTCAGCTCAACTCACTCTCCTCACTGGAGAAATGAATGTCGTTCGGCACGCTGCATTGAGCAGCCGCGTTCAGTTTTTAATTGTAGTGTCTGTTCTTTTACTGAACTAAATTATTTTTATTACTATAAAAAATCTAAACGACGGTGGGGGTCGGTGCCACGGTGGGCAAGTGACGTAACCGGTGTTGCGGCTTAACAACGGTATCACCGTCAGCACCGTCTATCGCGGCAAGCCTAATACAGATTACAAGGAGATGACTGGTTTGGGTTTGTTCCATGTAATTCAATGCAAAAATTAAGGATTTACGATGATATTCATCATGTTTAGGTGGAACTGCCAGGCTATGGCTCTCCCACAAAATTTCCAAACTTTGTCTGAATAATTAAGATTTCATAAGAATGCCCTTGGACAAATAACAACTTTTAAACATTTCTCTCAAGGAAACAGCTATAAAGTCCTCTAAATACACACATCCCGTAATCAGAGAACGTATTGAAGCAACAGCATTCTAAACACGCCATCAGCGCCCATTGTGTTTTCACCGTCTGTTCACCAATATGGCCTCGTTGTGTGGGAGACATGCTCAGCTTTTCTCATAATCAGCGCTGAGCAGTCTGGTTTAAAAATAAGACTCTAGTAATTGTGTCCGCGACACTCAGCCTGGTACCTGCTGGGACTTCAAGCAGCTGAGATTTGGCGGGTGGAAAGAGACGATTTTCACACACTGTTGGTTTGGACTCCACAGCCAACCGTTCTTTTCCTCCGCGCGACTGCACTCCGATCTCCTGGTGCATCTACGCAATCAATAACGCATTAGAACATAACACTCCTCATGCAATTAAATACAGCAATGTTATAAAATAACACTCATGTTCAGGGGAAACATGATGATTGTGTCTTTACATTGCAATTTTGTATTGTGTAAATAATAATCGAATAAAAATCATGAACTCGGTTCAAATTCAAAGTAGTATATATCTACATATAATAATTAAAAAATGTAATCAAAAATGCATTCAGTTTATATTTAAAATTATATAAAGGAATACAGTACTATACATATATAGATAGATAGATAGATAGATAGATAGACACACTAATATAAAACTGTATGTAAATATATAGAATATATAAGTAAAAAACTTGTCAAAAATGTAAAAATCCATTAAAATATACAATTAAATAACTTAAAATATAAAATTATATATAATTCTAATATAATTCTAATTAAAGAATATATATGTAGTATGTAATATATTAATACTATAAAAATATAATACACAAAAAAGTTTAAGAAAATAAATAGTGTATTTAAATATAAAATAAGAAATAAATAAAGCACTGTCAAAAATTCCATTTAATTGTACAAAGTTAAAAAAAAAAATTATAATCTAAATAAGCATAAAAAAATAAAAAAAATTAAATTAAATAAGCATTATTTGTGTTTGTTTCATTTATATTTTTAGTATATACTTAAAAACATAACAAAATACGTATAACGTAGTATATACAACTAATATAAAAATATAACACTATATATATCCTATTTTAT